TTGGTAAAGTAGAGGGTCAGCAAAAAAGAGGAAGACCCTCAACAAGATGGACTGACACAGTGGCTGCAACAATGGGCTCAAGCATAAAAACGATTAGGAGGCTGATGCAGGACCAGACAGTGTTTTGTTCTGTTGTACGGAGGGTTGCTATGAGTCGGAACTGACTTGACGGCACCTAACAACAACAACAATGGGATAACGTGAAGATGAAATGAGATGTTTGTGAAATGTGTTAACTCTGCACCTGGCATGTGGAAGGTGCTCAGCAGATCCGGCTCCACTGTCCTGTCTAGTTTAGCTGATTGTATGTGCACATTCTTTCCACTACAATGTAGTTGCTTTTTGACTTCTGCTCAACCGAAAACCAAGTAAAAAAAAAAAAAAAAAATCACTGCTGTCCAGTCAATTCCTACTCATAGAGACCCCGTGAGTTTCCAAGGCTGTAAATCTCTACGGAAGCAGACTGCCACATCTTGCTCCCTTGGAGCCACTGACGGTTTCCAACCACCGACCTTTTGGTCAGCAGTCGATTGGTTTAACCACAACGTTATGTTCCCAAGGAAAGATCTGGGGACCATAGTGATTATAAGCTTTTGTGATTTTAGCAATGTCCTACTGCTCTTAGGCAGACTTGCTTCTTAGATATATTAAAACAGCTGTAAAATTGCAAGAGCAATGAAAACACATACCTCGTTATTTCAGCATATATTCGATTTGACATTTAAATAGGACATGAAAAAGTAGAACTCAATGTAGAAAAAAATGAGTAAATAGTACAGATTAATAAAGACATGAAACAAATTGGAACTCTTTAGTTAAAAGTAAAGGGCAATGAAATATATACACCTACCCTCACTAAGTGATTATCTCGGTATTCAACATTTCGCATTTACAACAATAGTAAAAAAATCTACTATCCAACTATTTTGCACATAAACGATGTACATCTGGCAGTAACGAACACTGAGGGGTGAAGCAAGAGTAACGCTGGCTGTGACAGTTAAGCTTATGTGTCAGCTTGGCTGGGCAATGATTCTCAGTGGTTTGGCAGTTACATAATGATGTAATTTGGCAGTTATGTAATGATGTAGTCATCTTCCATTTTGTGATCTGATGGGGTCATCCTCCATTTTCACATAAGGACCTGGTCTTTGGAATCCAACCACATTGATAAGTGAGGGGTGAGTGTATTACATATTCATCCATTTAAATGCTAATTGGCTATCTACTTTACATAAAACACTGTGAGAAGTATTATAAACATAAAGGGATTAATATAAGGAAGAAGCTGCTCAATTAATCTCCATCTTTCTTGAAGAACAAGAAGAAATGGTCCAAAATTGCAGCAAGAGGGAAGAAGTTAGATTAAATGAATGGGAGCGTTTCTTAATAGAAGGTTTAAGACATTGAGAGAATTTTTTGAGATAAAATCTAAAACCTCCTTCTGTGAACAGCATTTAGAAACTTTTGGAATTCTTCCATTTACTTGGTAAGTATTTTTGAGACTATCTATAAAACTTTATATCCTTCCTGCAGACAGGAAGATAAATATTTCATGGGTCCTGCCCTCAAGTTGTCTGTAACCTTGAGGAGACAGAGCATGTCTTCTTATAAGGAAGTGGATTAGAACATCCTCGGGTCTATTCCAACTCCACAAGTTCACACTCTTAATACCCACATGCTAATAAGATATTTTATTATTTCCCCCTTCCCTCTTTCCTTCAAAATTGTGCTGTGTTAAAAGAGAAGTAAAGTCAGTAGCACATTAAAATGTCTATCAGGAAGTGCTATTATAAAAAAAAAATTCTTGGAATATAGAGTAGAAGTAGGAAATATAATACAGAATTAAGATTTTTAGACAGTTAAAAAAATTCCTGGCATTTATGCTTATTTCAGACTTCCACAGAAATTAAAATTCTAGTTGATTATGCAGCATCTTTTAAGATTAATCAAATATTAGATACACTGTAATTATCCTACAATCATGAAGATAGTATCTTTTCTGCCTCCTACTCTTTCTTGATAGCTTTGCAACCTTTCCTACAGAAGCAATTAAAAATTGCTATATTATTATGTGAAACATTTTAATAAGGCTTCAATTTGAATTTAAAGCAGAGACTTAAAACATACATTTCAGGTGATAACTGTACAATAAAACTTGTTACAAAGAGACAATGGAAATATTCAGTTATACAAATGAATAGATCATTTCAGGCCATATAAATTTTTTTCCATTCGCACGTCATACATGAAAAGCACAAAAAAGTACAGCAATCTCAAGAGAGTGCAATGGTTATTATTTCAATTATGATGTACCTGGAGTTCTTCACACTTTGTTGACAGGAAGCATATTTGTTTCAAGTTAAACGAAATTACTTTCCTTTTTGAAATGATGGTATCACTGAAGGCTTCCTGCACTACAAACATCCATGCAAATTGCTGGCTAATGAAAAGTTCAGCCTTAGCTTCTTCCTCATTATCTGAAACATGTTTTTGGGTAATAGAATGTGCTCATGCCGGATAACGTTGCAGCAGGTAGTTTTACGTACGTTGGACCTTCTCTGACTCACGATGATGGCAATTGACTTTTGATCAAGCCTTCCAGTTCTCACCATTGAGTAACACAAGTTAGGTTTTTAAATTTTATGATCAAAACGCCTTTAAAAGATTCACTTGGTGTACCCAATGTGGGTTTACATGGATAACACCCTACAGGATTTTCTGATTATCCAGTGTTCTACATAGGTGGAAATCAAAGCCAGTTGGGTTCAATAATTAGCAGCATCTTTACTTCCAATTACTTGCCATAAATATCAATAAATCCTGACTAGATTCATTAGGCATATTAAGAAAATGTTTTCCAGATAAAGGATACATTTATCCTTCAGATACTGATACATTTAAAGCACACAATTATTATTTGATTAAAATGTTCATTGAATGGAAGGAGAACAAGAGCCCAACAAAGAGAGCATGAGGTAATCCTCCTGTGTTTTTTTGTCTGTACTGTACACAGCTCTTGGCTTCGCAACTGAAGAGGAGGACACAAAGTGTGGAAATAATTCAAGTTGGAGCTTCACGTAAGATTAATCATTTGGAGAGGGAGGTCTATCTGGAAAGGTACAAGGGATCAGGGATTTTTAAATTGAACACATATGGTTACAGAATGAATTAAAAGTGTTCTTAACCAGAGTAGGATACATAAAACTTAGAATATTTGTGCTGCAAGGGATTTCAGAGCTCGACTAGCCCAGATTCTCATTTTTTCAGGCGAGGTCAGGGAGACACAGAGTGATTTTCTTAAGGTCATGGCTGATTACTATCAGACTCCAGTTCTGAAGGTAGGCAGCCTACCTCCCACATGCACCTTCTTTTTTTCTAGAGCACAAAGCCTCACTCTAGTTGTCCTGCATTTCTTCCTAATTCAGAACACAAGGAACCTGACGTAAAATGAGGTAACAAAAGATTTATGTCTGGATCAAGAAGGGATTTCCTAACTTTGAAAATGTAATTACTCTCCTCAGTACCCAAAGAGTTCTCTAGAAATTCATCTTTACAAAGAGATGGACTCTGTGTCCTCAAGATAAAAAATACATTGGAATAGGATAGAAACAGAGTCAAATAATACTCTGTAATGTGCCGATACTGATATTAGAAGAAATCAACAGCCCACTCGGAAGAGGTTTTGGAAAAAACGTTCACACACTGGCTGCCACCCGAGAGATGGGCTTAAGCAGCAGTAGATTATCTTTCTTCCCTCTTAGCAGATGTGGCTGGGAGCTGAGAGGCCTTTCCAGCTTTTAGCAGCATCTAGGTGCTTCCTGTCTGGGCAACAGGCACCCACTGCCTATATCCCTGCATGATCTTCCCAGAGCTGGGCGCTCTCTGGAAAGGTCTTCTCTCAGCTTGGAGTGTCCCCAGTGGGAAAGAGGGAGTCTCTGTGGACACTTAGAGAAATGGCTGTTGCCAGACAATGTCTGAGCATACTTCAACTGTAAGAACAGACATTCTTCTCTTTTCATGATAGTTTCAATTTTCTGTCTATTTAAAAACAGGACAAAATCTTACCTGGTTTTGGG